TACTGGCACCTGATCCAGCCCCTGGAATCCAAGGTTACTAGAGGACCATCTATCCTGATGACCCTGGGCCAGGCCTGGTCTCAGTGGCTGCTAGAAGTGCGGGAAGTGGGGAGCCAGTATCTGAGTTGGCTGGAGGAGTTGGGGAGGTACTAACACTCCATCCAGTCAACATGTAATTTCTTTGTGTAGCTCGAGACTGCGCACAGAGAAGAGGAACACAGGAAGGCAACAAAAGCCCCAGCCTCCAGATTTCTCCCCGGAGCTCCCTCGTCCCAGATTGCCACAAGGCTTCCTCCAACACTGCGTTTGGGTCTTTGGCTCAAATATTACCGCATTCGAACGGGGTTCTGAGCATCCTGGCCCTCTTCCAACCATGCCCCTTTCCAAAGAGCAAGGAACTCATGGGCCAAGGGGATGTGCCCACCCAAGCTCCTGCTCCTCACTTCTCAGATCTTACTGTGGTTCCCGAGACCCTAGAACTCACCGGCCCAGTAGCGCCAGGCCAGCTTCTACCATAGAGATTGCACCAGCTTTGCCCAGGTCTATCTATCCTCTTGAGGGGCCAAGGAGTGGCTGTGTGCAGGAGGTGTGGATGGGTTGCAGACAGGGGTGTTACAGGATCTAGGCTATGCAGACAGGGAAGTTACAGGCCCCCTGAAGTATGGGAAAGAGCTGAGCGGTCACGGGCCTCAGGCGGTGTGGACACTTCTGATCCCTGTGGGAGTCATGGTGGTCAGAGACTCAGAGCCTGTCCTACCACCGGTCCGTCTTCTCTCCCACCTGTTTTTAATTTACTACGTCTGATCGCTTATTCCAACTCATTTTTGGTTGGACACAGGGCCTGTGAGAAGCCAAACGACCTCCTCAAGTCCCTAGCAGCTCCGCGGACGCCCCACTCCTTCCATTTGGATCCAAGGCGGGACGGTGCTAGCGCCCCTCCGAGGCTTCGGGTAAACCGCGAAGGGGGCGCTCGCGGTCCAGCCTGGGCTCAGGCACGTGGGTGCGTAGGGTCCCGCCCCGCCCGCTCTCCCGCCCATTGGCCGCGGGAGGGGGCAGGGCGACGAAGCGCCGGGCGGGGCCGCGCGGCGGCGCGTGCCAAGTAGCTTCCTCCCACGGGACCGAGCAGGAGGTACGCGGCGCCAACCAGCACC